TCAACATCAGCACCAGCTGCCGCATCAGCGCTCAGCACCCTCTGAGCCGTCCGTGAAGATCCTATCCACGCCCACTTCTGCCGAGGGGCAGCAGACGGCGACGGGCCTTGGTGGCGGCAGCATCACCTATTTGCAGCGCCGGCCACGGGATGAGCAGGACACAGCCGTGGCTGGCACCGAGACGAAGGCAACGGAGCCCGAGCCGACAAAGGCTACATAAGTTGCGATCCTTTAGTTAATGTCACTCGCCCCTTGTCTAGTTATAAGTATTGTAAAAATGTTTCTGCATATTCAGCACTTTAATAACGTTAAATTATAAATAAATCAAAAATAAAAAATCTAATTAATAATCACAGCTACCCAGCAGCAACAACGGGTGCTGAAAATTTCATGCATTTTCATATAAGAAATGCATGTGGTTCTTTAACTTCTTTCAATTTTAAGACATTTAAAGCTTTAATTATTTTATGCTACAAGAGTTTTTTTTTAGAAATATTTTTTAAATCATCTCTTTTGCTTTTCCTATTTATCCATATTTTATATGCCAATTTGCAAGTTTTGCTGATTTTAAGCCTGAACATATGCTGAAAAGTCAGGTGCGAGCTGCAAAGAGAAAGCTATGTCCGACACAATTCTACTACATTTTATAACTTAATTAGTTTATTCACTTTTTACGTTAACATCGAAATAATTGCTAATCTTAGTTCAGGCCCATTGGGGTATTACTGTTGCTGTTGCTGCTGTCCGCTGAGCTGAGGGTTTCGGGCGTGGCCGCCTCCCTTGTCTGCAGACGTGAGATTTGCGGATCCCTACGATCTTTTTCCTTGCGCTCGCGATCTTTGTCCTTATCCTTGTTGTGTTTGTGCTTGTGCTTATGCTTATGCTTCTTCTTGTCCTTTTTTTTCTTCTTCTTGACACTGCCATCAGCTCGCAGCTTGCTCTCGTCATAGCTGCTCTCGTAGCGCGTCGTCTCGCCCACATCCAGCACCGATATCGAATTGTCGTCTTCCGTATAGATTTCGGTTCTGATGCGCTTGTTCAGGGGCTGCGATTCGCCGGATCCATCCTCAGCTGGCAACACATTAACCTTGGTTTCGCTATCGTAGGCCTGCACTTCAACCGGCTCGTCCACTACTGTGATCTCCTCACTGCGCTCCAGCTTGATGATCTCATCTCCCACTTCAAAGGCTTCTGTGGCCGTGCGCTTTATGGTAACCATGGCAGGCTTGTGCCGCTCCTGAGGTTCGATCTCTGCAGGCTTGGGCTCGCTGGCCTTCTTAAAGGAAACGCTTGACCCGCTGTTTTCCTTCATCAAGTCCTTGTAGAAGTTCTGGTTCTCGCTGGCCTGCAGGCAGTTCGGCCGCTTGCTGCCGTAGAGCGCATAGTACAGATCCACGATATCGCAACGCAGCTTCGTGTCATAGGCCAGTGTATTAATACTCAGCCAGAGGCGCTCCAGCAGATTCGGTTTGTCCAGGCGGCTGCGAGACTCGCGCGTAAAAGGCGGATTGTCAATGAGCAGCTGAGCGAGGCCATGTCGAGCTGCCGGATCAGGATCGGTTTCCAGCAACGTTATCAAGTGCTCCAAATCCTCGCTGCGTCCATCCACCTTCACAAAATCCACCAGGCACTCCATTGCTGCAATGCGCAAATCCAGAAAGATGCCATATTCCGCATAGCTTCGATAAATGTGTGGCAGCGAGGGCAAATGTCCAAACTTTTGCAGCTTGCGTATGACCTTAAGGCAGGACACGGACACCATATACTTGTACGAGGGCAGATGCTTCTCCATGTTAAGCAGCCGCGTCACCTCGTCCAGAACCAGTCTGTAAACGCAGATATAAAATGCAACATGAGCTTACAAGGCATATAACAGTGTCTATTATAATTACTTGGCATCCGTGGAAAGGCTGTCTACGGTGATTTGTGTGCCGTGCATTGCCACAGATACGACGGGTGTAAGTGTTTCTCCCAGCGCCTCGACCAGTGCAGCTCTATAGTAGGCGTCAGTATAATGATTGCGTGAGTTCTCATTGTACTTAAAGAGATCGAACAGAAAGCGCATCACCTCCGGCGGGCAGATGCCATGAGAGGTGCGCAACCCTATAACGAGAAGGAAAAATTACACAAGGAGTGGAACATGATTAACGTGATTAACTTACCCGCCATGGCCACGGGAATGGCCTTTTGCAGGAAGTACAATTGAAAGTTGGAAAAGTTGTTAAGCTTGATGATGTGCGGCGCGCTAAAGGAGCCAAAGAATTTGCGGAAAATGTTGAGCATGGCTGGTGGACCACTCCACGAGGCAACCATTTGGTTGGCCACCTTGGTGAGGCTATGCGCCGCCTGGCAGCGCACCTTGTAAAAGCAGGATTCGCTCTCAATGGTGTCGGTAAGTGCCATGCGCGTGGCGTTCGTGGGATACTTTTGCAGAGCCTGTATAGCCTGAAACTGGGCAGTCACGTCTCGCTCGTGTCGCAGCTGATATTGCCACTGAAAGTCCGGTTGCTCAATGATCAGATCTCGCAACAAAATCATCTCCGGATCCAGACGTATCCACAGCACAGGTGAGTCGCTGTGGAATAAGGGAGATCACAAGACAATTAGATTAAATATTTGTTAATATAAATATAACATACTCCATGGCAGACAAGTCCATGTCTACCTCCTCGCCGGTGCACAATGGAATCTTTTTCTTCTTGTTTCGCCTGCTCTTTGAGTGGCAGGTTATGTCCGCCTTAACCAAGGTATTCTCAATCTGTAGCGTATGCTTAAAAGTGCCATCCAGCTCCTGCAGCTGCACCAGCAACGGTCCATTGTACTTGCGTACGCCGCGCTGATTAACAAAGTCCTGTCGAATCTCCAGCTCGATGGTGTTTCGCTTGCGATTGAACACCGAGGTGAGCGAGAACTTTGCATGGCCACCCGTTCGCACCCATTGATCCATAAAAACCGACATGTCCTTGCCCGTGACCGTGAAAATTGCCTTGATGAAGATGTTTGTGGAGATGAGCAGTTGCGACCACAAGCCGGCACCGATTTTGGTGCTTGCTGCATTTGTGGCCAGCGCCAGCTGTTTGTTAAAGACCTGTATCAGCAGCTCCTGTCCAATGCGATGCTCCAACATGCGTATGACCAGATGCGCCTTGCGCCGCATCGCCTCCACATATTTGGGCGACACCGTGTGCAAACTCTTGATGGGAAAGTAATGCACAATCTCCTGCTGTTTACTGGCAGCAGCCGCAGGATTCGTGCTGGACACGGGCAGTGGCGCCGGCGGCTGGCTACAGTCGAGTATGATGCCGCCATACTGTTCCTCGTACCGAACCACGCGAGCCAGCTCCGTTTGTACCCATTCGCGATACTCGTTGTTGCCAAAGCACTTGCGTGAGTAGAGGCCACACAGATACTCGGCTATGCCCTTGGCCAACCAGGTGTCCGACCAGTGATGCGAGGTGATGAAGCAGCCAAAGAACTGCTCGGCCACAGCGCGTGACATGAAGGTTCTGGAAATGTAGGTTTGATCTATAATGGCTATGGAGTGCAAAAGATTGACGGAGGCTATCGTCATGGTCGCATAGGCACTAATGTCCGTGTCCAGTTCGTCTACAAACACCTGTTTGTAGCAGGAGAACGGATACCGTGTGGAGAGTGTCTCCTCAAAGAACTCAAAGGCCTCGTGCAGATATCGCACCGTGTTCTTCAATAAAGGCAACATGCCGGGAAGACAAAAGTGCGTAACTTCGTGCATGTGCGGATCCACGTAGATTTCGAAGGGTCCCACTGCCAGCGCTATGTTGGGCGCACACACAGGCGTCGATACCGTATAATGAAATGTTTTCTTTCTCAAATCCGGAGTCATGATAACCTCAACCAGTTCACCGCAAGAGACAGCTGTTAGATTCTTGTCCACCGTGAATTCCAGTCGCCATGTGCACGGATCAGCGAAGCTATCAACACAGGGAAACCAGAGGCGGGTCGAGTTCTCGTAGCAGTTTGTGTACATGTGCGCACAGTTGAGCTGCGCGGTTTCATCATCCGTTGAAGTCGGCGGCAGAACAAAGTGCATGCCACTCTTTGGGTTTTCCGCAGAGAACTCAATACGTATCCGAAGGCCACGGCCCTCCTGTATCAGCGAATATCCCTCCGGCGGCACCTGTATAAGCAGCTCTCCATTGTTGACATCCGGATCCGTGATTTGAGCCGCAGCCAAATGGTGCTTTGAGTAGACCTCCAGAGAGCGGCTGCATTGTGTATGTATAGATGATATATAAAGGAAGGGCAGCCACAGCCAATGTTTAACTAACCTCTTGGGCTCCTTGTGGCAAATGTCCTGAAACGGATCGAAGTAAACGAACTCCGCGTGGCAGACATCGTTGAGCACCACGCTGTAAATGCGCAGCTGCTTGGCATTAAGGCGTATCAGTCGAAGGCTCTCGTTGTTCGGCACTATGGTCAGCTCCACCATGCCCTGTGAAACACATATCATTTATTTCATTATTCATATTGTGCACAGTATTTCTGTCGGAAATCTTACAATTATGCTGCGTCGCTCAAAACTAATTCCGGTGAGGCTCACAACCTGATGCGCCGTGCTGGAAGGAAAGGAAAACATGAATTGCCGAGTCTCAAGGGCTAGCAGAGCAATACTTATAGTTTGAATGGCCGCAGCGGAACCTCGGGCACCTCAGGTTGTGTGTCCATAGTTTTTTGGCGTTGATTTGCACACTTTTTAAACGATCTGTATTTTGTTATCAATATCACCGCATTGTTTATTTTTTCACATTGCGTCTTCTTCTTCCAACAAACTGCCGCTTTGGCTAAAAATGCCAGCAAAATAAAATACCAAATGTTGAAGCATGGCAACTCTATATCGCGATTTACAGCCCTGAGTGCAACCTTTAACACTGATGCTGCTCTTGGTGTTATTTTAAGGCATTGATAAAAATTATATCCAGATGTTTTTTGCTTAAGTACCCTGTCAAATGGCAGGAAAGTGTTTAAATTAACCAAATTAAAAGTGTAAAACGTGTTTATCAAGGATTAAACTCAAGTGTTACCAATAAATTTGGATAAATTACATTGTAAAAAATTTCCATACACACAAGTGTTAAGATGTGAATCATCTATTCATAAGAAAGTTAAATTTGGATATTTCTCCCATTTGGAACGTATTTTTCCCCAGTCGAGTCAGCACTTTTCACGCAACAGCGTCGAGCTGCGTTCCCTCTAATAGTTGTTTATAATTTGAGTGCTGCGTAAATCAATAAAAAAATATTAGAAAAGTTGTTTAATTTAAGAAGAAAAAAACACAAGAAACAGTGAAATAAAATGTACGGCATTGATAATTATCCAAAAAATTATCATGCGAGCGGCATTGGCCTTGTCAATCTGGCGGCCCTCGGCTACAGCAAGAATGAAGTCAGCGACGATGCGCCGAGCAAACCGAAGTCCGGGCTGTACCCCTCGCTGCCCTATCCAACGTCGGAGTCGGTGGGCGGCATGCCATATGTGGTGAAGCAAACGGCGCAGGCACAGAATGCCTCGTATCAGGGCGGCAGCATGGGCATGCCACAGCCACAGTCAACGCCGTATCCAAGCGCTGGCTTGTATCCCAATCTACCAGCTATGCCGCTGCCGTATCCATCCACGCCGCTGGCGCCCATACCCAGTGCATCGCCATATCCCAGTGCCACGCCTTATCCGAGTGCCGCACCTTACCCGAATGCAATGCCCTATCCGAGCGCAGCGCCGTATCCCAGTGGAATGCCGTCACTGCCTTATCCATCGGCAGGCGGCATGGGTATGCCCGGCATGCCCATGCCCTATGCGCCCTTGCCGACCAGTCCGGCACCGCAGTCGATCTACCCATCGATGCCGGCGCCATCTGCGCCGGAGGCCAGTGCACCCTCGCCCGAGGAGGAGCCATCCGTGGGCATACAGGAGCTGCAGTTTACCAGTGTCAAAGTGCCCGAGAATCAAAACATGTTCTGGATGGGACGTAAGGCCAGTACGACTCGTCAGAAGAGTGTCCAAGCTACCGACTTTGTTACGCTGCGTGAGTCTTGTGTGTCCAATGGTACAATGTTCGAGGATCCTGATTTTCCGGCCAATGACGCCTCGTTGATGTTCTCGCGTCGTCCGGATCGCTACATCGAATGGCTGCGACCCGGCGACATTGTGGACGATCCGCAGTTCTTTGTCGAGGGCTACTCGCGTTTCGATGTACAGCAGGGCGAGCTGGGCGATTGTTGGCTGTTGGCCGCAGCTGCGAATCTGACACAGGACTCGAAGCTCTTCTTCCGCGTGATACCGCCGGATCAGGATTTCCAAGAGAACTATGCGGGCATATTCCATTTTAAGTTCTGGCAATATGGCAAATGGGTGGAGGTTGTCATCGATGATCGTCTGCCCACCTACCACGGGGAGCTGATATACATGCACTCCACGGAGAAAAATGAGTTCTGGAGCGCGCTGCTGGAGAAGGCATACGCCAAGCTTCATGGCTCCTATGAGGCCCTGAAGGGTTGGTTGAGAGCACAAACATGATTTGTTTTGGATAATTCTTAACATCTTTGCTTTTACAGGCGGCACCACCTGCGAGGCTATGGAGGACTTTACTGGCGGTGTGACCGAATGGTATGATATCAAGGAGGCTCCACCAAATCTATTTAGCATTATGACCAAGGCAGCGGAGCGTGGCTCGATGATGGGCTGCTCTCTGGAACCGGATCCGCATGTGCTGGAGGCCGAAACGCGCGAGGGTCTGATACGCGGTCATGCGTACTCCATAACAAAGGTCTGCCTCTTGGACATATCGACGCCCAATCGTCAGGGCAAGCTGCCCATGATACGCATGCGTAATCCTTGGGGCAATGAGGCCGAATGGAGCGGCCCCTGGAGCGACAGCTCGCCCGAGTGGCGCTTCATACCGGAGCACCAGAAGGAGGAGATTGGTTTGAATTTCGATCGTGATGGTGAATTCTGGATGTCCTTCCAAGACTTTCTCAACCACTTTGATCGCGTCGAGATTTGCAACATGTCGCCAGACTCGTTGACCGAAAATCAGCAGCAGAACTCGCGCCGCAAGTGGGAGATGTCCATGTTCGAGGGCGAGTGGACTTCGGGCGTGACGGCGGGCGGTTGCCGCAACTTTTTGGAAACCTTCTGGCACAATCCGCAATATATTATCTCGCTGGAGGATCCCGACGAGGAGGACGACGACGGCAAGTGCACGGTGATTGTCGCGCTGATGCAAAAGAATCGTCGCAGCAAGCGCAACGTGGGCATCGATTGCCTGACCATTGGCTTTGCCATTTACCATCTGACGGATCGCGACCTGCAGGTGAAGCCGCAGGGCTTGAACTTCTTCAAGTATCGCGCCTCGGTGGCGCGTTCGCCGCATTTCATCAATACACGCGAGGTTTGTGCACGCTTCAAGCTGCCTCCCGGTCATTATTTGATAGTTCCCTCGACCTTTGATCCGAACGAGGAGGGTGAGTTTATTATACGCGTCTTCTCTGAGACTATGAACAACATGGAGGAGAACGACGACGAGGTGGGCTTTGGCGAGACGGATGATCGCATTGCGCCCGCACTGCCACCACCCACACCCAAGGAGGAGGATGATCCGCAGCGCATTGCACTCAAGCGTCTCTTCGACAGCGTTGCGGGCAGCGACGAGGAGGTGGATTGGCAGGAACTCAAGCGCATACTGGATCATTCGATGCGCGACGTCATGATCGGCACCGATGGCTTTTCCAAGGATGCGGTACGCTCCATGGTCGCCATGCTGGACAAGGATCGCTCCGGCCGACTCGGCTTTGATGAGTTCGAAGCGCTCCTCACAGACATTGCCAAATGGCGTGCCGTATTCAAGCTGTACGACACCCGACGCTCCGGCACCATCGATGGCTTCCACTTGCGTGGCGCTCTCAACTCTGCAGGCTATCATCTGAACAACCGGCTGCTCAATGCGCTGGCCCATCGCTACGGCTCACGGGAGGGCAAGGTGCCCTTCGATGATTTCCTCATGTGCGCCATCAAGGTGAAGACCTTCATCGAGATGTTCCGCGAACGTGACACAGACAATTCCGATACGGCATTCTTTAATCTGGATGATTGGCTGGAGCACACCATCTACTCCTAAAGAGCCACTCAGTCCCAAACAGTTTAATCTTAACTAATCCTAAGTGCCACGTTTACTTATATACACCATATATACATATATAATTAGATGATGTACGAATGATGATGCACTCATAACGCTGCAGCGAGTCAACAAAGGCGAACCTTATCATATAACAAACGCTACAGTAAGACCACAACTAAACGGAAATACAAATTCATGTATGCATTAATTTTATTGACCTTGAGGCGCCTCACGCGGCGGCGCTCGACGAGGGTAGAAAAAAAGAAGAAAAAAACGTCAAATAAAAACCAGAAAATCAACAGAACATGCCGATTGCGCCGTGTGTACAGAGGCATTATACATGCGAGATACTGGCCCAGTATATATGATATATATAGTATATATAGCGTGCGCATAGTTGTATTTATGACTAATGGCTAAATGGAACTGGGCCCCATTCACATTCTTTGTTCTCCGCAATAGCCAAAAAGCCGCCAGTACAAAATGATAAATGTGCTTTATAGTAATTAGCATAATGCTGCAGCATTAAGAAGTTTTACTATTCAAATATCTTATGTATATTTTTTACACTTTTGCAATCTCTTATCATCTATTTGTTCAGGTGCTAAACTGAAACTCGAAAACTAATCGATCAAAAATGCGGCTATTTAATGAACTCTCCTCTGTATCTAAGGGCAGTTTGTGGAAGCCACAACGAATCACATTTGAAAGTGTTTATATGAATTAAATATAATATAGTTTCGACTAAATACTCGGCAAAACAAGTTTATATACACAAAAAAAAAAAAAAAAGAAGGTGATTCGAAACAAGTTTACAATTCGTATTAAATATGAACTAATTTCTATGTGCAATTGTTATCAACTTTATGACTAAAACGTATTATTTTATGCTGTTTTTTTTCGCAATATTAAATTTAAAATTTGTGAGTACAATTATTTAACGACGACTATTTCGGTGGCGCCGGTGGGCGGTCCAGCGGCAACAAGCGTGACCTTAAAATCCTCATAGTTAAGATCGGCGTCCGTGCTCAGATGCTGCAGCACCTCGAGGAAGTCCTCATAATCCAGACGCCACTTTCTGAATCAGACGAGAAAACGAAATGCGTCATGACTTGAGATCTATTATAATCGTAAATTGTGGATCATGTATGTACTTGTAGCGCATATAGAGAAGTCCAGTTTGGGTGCGCGTTATGGGCGCCGGCATCAGCTTGGCCTGCTGCAGCCAGTTGTCCAGCTGCGAGAGTAAAATGCTGTGGAACTCCTCGTTCTCCAGCTCGTTGCCGATCACCTGGATGAAAGCATATAATAAGTATATAAGACAGTGAAAATCATATGTATAAACAAATTGTGACCTTGTGATTGCAGTAAACGTGGAAGAGCGAGTCGAGTGTGTGCTTCTTTGGCTTATCCTCATCATCGGCCATGGCGCCGCGCACAGGATCGCAGCTGAAAGCTCTAACAATCAAATAAACTAGAACTATACTAAATACAAGTTGTGTGTTTCGGACGGCATAAAGTACACACAATTTTGTGTGTGTATTTGGAAATGTTTTTGTTGACAAACAAAGCGCCAGGCAACTGAACTGTATATATATATATATAAATTAAGTGTGCTTATAATTTATGTGTGTGTAAAATGGGTGTGCGTGTGTGTGGATGATTTGTTGCCAAGTGTTTCGGTTGTTGTCGCTTGCGTGGGCGTCCCGGCATGCATTCCAGTCTTTGTTTATTTGGCTGCCATTTCGACGTCCGCGTCCCCGTTGCCGTTCTGCGCGTTGAACTTCTCGACCAGACGCTGCACGTAGCCGACCAGCTTGGGCAGATTCTGTTTGGCGGTTATGTCGCTGGTGCGATAGGGCGGCGCTATGGTCACCTGCTGCAGCACCAGTATGCTGTCCACCTGCCAGGTCAGCTCGCTGCTGCCAAAGTGCTTCGTGAGCATTGTGAACATTTGCCTGCCACGCGGCGTGGCATGCTCATTGCGGCTGCGCAGCAAGTTCTCGCGCTGCTCCACAGACTGCTGCAAACGCTGATCGAGCTGCAAGTGGAAAATTTCAATAAATATATACAAATTGATTGTCTATATTCAACGTACGCGCAGCAGATTGAGGCGAGCCGGTGGCTCGTTAAGGCTAGTATCCGGTGTTTTGGCCTCGCGTATGATTTTTAAGTTCTTGCAAAAGTCCAAATTCACAATGCTCTGATTGAGGCACTTTTTGCCTTTGCTATCCTTGCCCGGGCAGCTTAATATTAGCATTTTCACGCTGTGCTCGTAGGTCACCACCTCGCCAGTTATGTGGTCACCAAAACAGGTCTCCACGTGCAATTGGGTGCCAATGGGGAAAGGATTGAACGACATTCTCTTCAGTTCAGAGCTCGAAGAAAATTTGCTTTTGACAGCGTTTGACGTAACAGTGCTGCCAAGAGTTGCCAAATTGTGCGATCTCGCTCTAGCAAAGGCAATAAATCAAGAATAAGAAAATATCCCCTTGACAACAGAATTTCCCCTTAACCAGACGGCAGAATATAGGGATTTTAAGTTTTTTATTTCACTTTATTTACAATGTATGTGTATGTATGCTAAATATATAACTAAATATAAATGTTGTGTATATATATATATATATTTCAAAAGTAAACCTTTCCTTTTTAATATAATGTATACGATGCTTTAACCGCTTTTTTGTTGTTGCTGTCTAAATTGTTGTTGCATGAGCGTTGATTTTCTCTATTAGATTTTTGTAATTTTTATTTGTTCTTCAAGACATATTATTTAGTTAATTGTAGGTGTATATACGCAATTATGTACCTTCATTAGCACTATTAGCTATACGCTTTCGATTATATCTAACGCCCCAAAATTGTATAAAAACACATGCTGTTTTATGCTGTTTCTGCGTTTGGCGTAACTCGAGAAAAGTGCATTATTAAATTCTTAGTACGTTGAAAGAAAGCAAAACTAAAAACAATCAATTCTAAGCGCATTATTTATCGAGAATAAATATCGAAAGATATGAAACAAACACGTACACAAAACATATTTATACAATTCAAGAACACAAACGTATAAAATTATACATTATTGTATATATAGAAATATGAAAAAATGGCGCTTAGTTATTTATAAAAATTTGCTTTAATATGCTATAGATGTGGTGCAATTTCCATCGATCCATCAGTCCGTCTGTCCGTCGTCCCGCCCCGTCCGCCTTGGTCTAATAACTGCCTACGGTTCTTAGTTTCCATTTTAGCACTTTCAATGTAATCGTTTTTAGGCATTTGCTTTGTTTTTGTTTACGTTATGCTGTTTTTAAATTGGTGTTACGCGCTCGGCTTAAAGTCTTAATTATGCTTTTAGAAATCACTTTAAATGGGGAGTTACTTGCTGACGAATTTGCTAAGTTTAATATTAATTCAACACGAATAACTCTGTTAAAGATGCGCGACAAAACAACGTATTCTGTTATTTTGTTATAATATATATATAATATATATATTATTATAATTAATAGCTGGCGGTTCTGCATATGAAAATTGTGGTGGATTGCTTGCCCTTTTGTTGTGTTCTATTTGCGTTTGTTTTACGGGGTTTTGTTTAATATCAAAAGGAATGAATTATATGCATAATATATATGTATATATGCTCACACATATATATATTTATAAAAATAAAACAATGCACTTCCATATTAACCGACACGCCGCGAATCTTACATGGGTCCATCGATCGCGCTCACTTTAAGCCGGAAATAGTAAATGGAACGCGCCAACATGGTAGCCGCAATGAAAAACAAGGCAATATAAAGGATATACATGCCGCCATGATTCTATTAACAAGAGGAGAGAGCATTTAGTTACAGGCGATTGATTATATATTGAATGGCACCTACCGATGCATATGAGATGGTGCCAACGGTCAGGCCAATGCTACCAATAAGGAAGAGCAATGCGACAATAGCAAATAAAACGCCGCGGCTGTTGGCGAAACGTGAGCCCACCGAGGAGACCTTCCTGCAGTGTGGACAGCGAGCCAGTGCGTTGTGATAGGTGTTAAACTGTGCGGAAAAACAAGAATTCAGCTAATTTAAAACTCAACTCTAACTAACTCAAACTAGACGGATTGCTCTTACCAAAAACGTGTCCGAGCAGTGGCCACAAGTGACCCGGCACATGCCCGGCATGGTGGGCACGGGCGGTGTCACTGGACTTGGAGCCAAATTGATAATGCGCTTGCAATTGGGGCGTGGGCAAGCGATACGCTGCGAGGAGCTCTTGCAGATTAGCAAACAATTGCAAGGACAGCGCACGTACTTCTTGCCGGGTGGCGCATTACGTATGGGCTGCAATAAAACATTAAATAGTATACACAAAGGAAGCTATAAGAACTCTACTTACAGTTGCCTCATTGCAGTGGGTGCACTTGACCACGTGTTGCTCCCGCTTTGTGGTTATGTCAATCATGTTCTGACACACGCGACAGGTGACCATGGGCACGCCGCCGGTGCCGCTGCTCTGATACGGCGGTGGCAGCTCATCGGGACCAATAAATGGCACCGACTGTGCAGTGCTGCCTGGAAAACCAAAAGAAAAACCAGATGTCAGTACTGAAGAGGGGTCACCCATGACAACCATAAACCTTTAGTGTAAAACAAGTACATCTTGCTGCAGAAGCAACTGCCGCTGCACTACAGCAGCTGATACTGCTGCATCTGTGAGCTGCATGAAAGCTTTCGATTGATATCTCCTTGTGTGGGCGTGGCAGTGTTTACAGATTAATGCAAGTGTGTCAATGTTTAGGCGTTTCGGTGGGCAGCCGTAGCCAAGCAAGTCAAACCGGCATTTGTGCCACATTTGGACGCCTCATTCTTGCTTCAAACAAGCCCGCACTTTGTGCACAAAACTGCGAGCCCAAGATGTTAGGACAACAAGACATTAAGCGGCAGCTATAAATAGCGCACAGCCTTGGCATGAAAGGGTGTACACTGATCAGGTTCTTGGCAGCGACAAAAGCGCTGCGACAGCACGGAGTGAGGGGCACTCACGACATTGTCTCTGTCCAACGATAATGGAAAAACAGGCGCATGACTCATGCAATGCCTCTTTGCCTGCTGCCAACCATCGCATCGCTGCTGCCGCTGCTGCTGTCGCTGATTAAACAGCTGAACGACGACGCTACCGTCGCGTTGCTGCTTGCACAGCTTTGATATCAGGGCAAGAACAAAACAAAAGGAATATGAAAAAGTTCGGCGCTTTAAGTCGAAGTTTGTATATTTCTTAAAAGCTGTCAGCTGTGATTTAACTTTAAAACTATTTCATACTTCAAATACCTTAACTATACTACGCCATCGGAAGCCCTTTGAAATTCAAGGTGTGCGATAATAACAAAATAATGAAGTTAAAGTTTTGCCTTACCCAATCCGAACTGACAGACACAGTACTTAAATGATAAATTTAAAGTTCATAACTTTGACTTTAATAATATTAAATTTAAAATTGAATGTATTCACATTATATCCCTTATAATTTTATGAGAGAAGACCCACATTGTGCTATATTTTGGAATACTCGCAAGTTTATAGTTTAACTAGACACATAAAGCGCATTGCCCACCTGTTACAAACACAATGATATAGTTGCGATTGCCGGCACAATAGTGTGCTGAACAATGGCAATTAGCTGCGAATTCGACTGCGATTCGGCATCAGGTTACGAACTTTCTGCGGATGTCGCGTAAACGGGTAGGCAAGGCGCCCACGCCCAGCCTGGCCCACTATATCAATGACTCAGTCAGGGGAAGTGTGAAAAGCTAGGCATGAAATGGAAGACTAGACTTGAAATCACAGTGGCTGCTAAGTAGAGCGCACACTTGTTGGGTTTCCACCCGAAGACAATCGGACCATCGCATATGCAGATCCGTAAGACCAGTTACACACGCACGCACACGCATGCGGGCGGTCGTTCAGATTGTCGGTCGTTTAGGGTGTTGCGGCGAGTTGAACGCACTTATTTTACCTAGGATTAGGTTAATCATACGTACCGTCTTCATTATTGGCTGCAGCACTGCTGCCGGGATTTTCAGCGCCCTCGGCTGGAAACGATGTGTACGAGGCCGCGGTCGGCTCGTCTTTGTTGATCAAGCTTTGGCGCTCGGGATCAGACATATCGGTGCTTTTTCTCTATGCACAAACGCAACTCCCGTTAGTAATGCACCCAAATTGCAATTGTCGCCCGCTGCTGTTGTTGTTGTTTTTGCTGTTGCTTCTTTTTGTACACCGCAACGCAAATGCTTCAACTGCAAATAATAAAAAAAATAAAAACGCACACAGTTTATTGTTGCCCTATAAGCATATTTTTAGTTGCTTAAGAGTAGATAGCGATTTCTTTGTTTGGTGCATAGGCTGCTTGTTTTTTCCTACATTGTTTTTTTTTCTTTCTTTTTTACACTTTGCTGTTGAATCCTCCCTTTTCGGCATGCGCCGCAATAATCAATTTTATAGCCGTTTTAGCTCGACCGTTACCATAAATCCAGCATACAGTGTTGAAATTTATCACTTGCCAAGTTGATGTGTATAATAGTGCTAATTGTTTAATGTTTATAGGGTTTTTGTTCTACATTTTACCTTATTTTGTTGAAATTGCACTGCTGCTGCTTTCGACGCACATTTGAGTCGATTGGCCACACTGTTGCCTTAATTCTGGCCACACTAGTCAGACTTCTTGGTGCACCCCTGCAGTGCTTCTGCGACCCTGGCATAGGGCTGCCTCCGCAGCTCAGCCGATACGCGTACTTACCATACGAATGTTCAATAATAAAAAGCGGCCATATTTTAAAATGTCTCAGAAAAATGAAAAAGAACCTATAATAAAAGATGCAGAGGAAACAATATGCAGTACTTCAAAAGATAATGACGACCATAACAACTCCAGTGATTCGGAAACACAAATGATAAATCTAAGTCTGCGACGCAAATCCCGCCATCGTCTATTCACACAAAGCTTCTCATTTAATGCGCTGCCAATGCGGATTGTTTGCGCCGGGGAAACGGAAAACATTCGTGCTAATCCAAGCTTGACTCGTGAAGTGACTTTAAATGCCCCGCAAGTTATTGACGATGGCTCGGATATAGATATGGATGCTGAACTTCATATATCCAATGACAGCAGCAGTGACGGCACAACAACAAAATCCATTGTATTTCCAGGTCGATCATTGGCAAAATCGGATTTACATGTGACGAGAACGATACGCAGACGTAAAAGTCGAAGAAAGTTCATACGTTACAAAACAATGTAGATTTATCGTAAAATATATATATATAACTAGTTAATATAAATTGTGCATTTAAATTTAACTGCAACAAAGGTGTCGACTGCATTGCACAGGGCTGGTTGCCACGCGTACTTTACAACACTGCGCCAGGGCTACAGGTTGGTTTGTGCATTTTGGAGTAGTGGTAAATTTTTACAGGCATAACTATTTATATGCGGTTTTTATGTAAATAAACCAAAGCAAACATAGTCAAATAATTCGTAAAGTGTAAGTAATGCATGCCAACTAGCATTACATGTGCTGTAATGTCTAATAACAGTCGCATAATGGCAAAACAGGCGTGTGAAAATGTGCGATGATTTCATTTTGTGGTGCTGCTGCTGCGCGTTGTTGTATTGGAAACTTCGTCGTATCTTTGCTTTGACGCGCTTGTTGTTGTCGTTGTTGTTGTTGTTGTTTTGCTGTTGTTGGCTTAGGTACGGGAAACGCAGAGCCAAACTGGCGGCGACGTCAGCGACGCGCACAAATGTTTATGTAGCTGCCGATGTAGGGCGGCATAGACAAGAACAACAAGAGCGATAACAACAACAATGCCGAGAACACCTGTTTCTAATTGATTTTTCACATTTTCAGCAACGCTTTCAGATCACTGACTTAACCGCAACAACTGTGTTTTGGCATTATTAAAATAGAAATTCGGAAGTGAAGTGCCACAAAACATAAGCAACAGGCCAATTAAAAAACGAATTTGCTTAGTAATAGTTAGATAGAAAAGTCAATAAGCATCGAACGAACGAACATTTCTAACCCAGTTTGACCACCGACTAGTAAACATCAAATAAAGCACTCGAAATGGAGGCCCCACCAATGTTTAACAGCGTCGAGGATGAGTGCAGATACTGGAAAGAACGCTCAAAACAGTACCATAAAGAGTAAGTGTGGATAGAGTGGAAGAGGAAGTGGGAGTTCTCCTCCAGCTTATGCCATGAATTTGCATTTCTGCAGGTGGACAGATGTTAAACAGGAATATGATGAATATGTTGAACAGTCGAGAGAAATGGAAGCCGAAATGGACGCAACTCTGGAACAAAAACAGAGTATAATCAAAGATCTCAGAGCCAAGCTTAATATGTTAGAGAAAGAAAATGATTCACTAAAGGTGCGTGTAATTAAGAAAATCAAATCTCATTTAATTTAACTATTATTTGTGCTACAGCTCAAGCTAGATTCACACGGCATCGAAATGTCAAATCTGGATAAACAGTTGGAGGCGGTTAAAAAAGAACGTGACTCCATGAAAGAATACCTGCGACAGTTGGAGCAGAAAAACGATGATCTGGAGCGTGCGCATCGCATACTCAATGAGAGCATAGTAGACTTTGAGAAAATGTTAGACAAAGCCTATGAGAAAAATGCACTCCTCGAGATGGAGGTGGACGAAAAGGAAATGCTGCAGGAGAAGCTGCAGCGGCTAATGGACGAGACCCGCGGTGAGTTACACATGCAAATTAGTTCAATGCTTCGTTTTACTAAACCCTTGTTGCAGATCTCAAACAAGAGCTTAACGTGAAGTCGCGCTATACGCCAGCTAATGGCACAGCAGCATCAGCCGGTAACAGCTCGATGAACTCCTCAGCATCGCTGCCCAATGGGATTTTGGCCAACGGTGATATATTGCTGCAACATGACAATGCCGCTACAAAGGCGTCTAGCATGAGCGTCAGTGCGCTAAATGGCAGTTTAGCTAATAAGAACGAATATAATCAACAGCAACATTCGCTTAAAAGTAAGATACTCAATTCATTGAAGCAAACAAAACGCGCACTTAAATTATCAAAATCATGTCGCCATTCCAAGCCAACAAATTGCATTTAGTTATGCTAGGCTACAATCACAACACACTGCGTGTCCACACCATGAAAATTGCACATTTTGTTAATTGTATATTTAAGTTTTTTAAATTGTTTTTTTTTTCATATCTGTATTTGTACGCACAAAATTATTAAATGTAAGCCAAATTTTTCATATTTGCAACATTTTTCGTAGGCAATGTTTGTGTGTGTGAGTGTGTTTGTGTTTGTATCTGTCGTTAAACAATTGTAACTAACAATCATCTTGTCATCATGTTAACTAATTGTGTTTAGGCCTAGTCTACTCATATAACTAACCAAGCTGTGTTGTGTGCTTCCTTTGCAGATCCCGAGAACCTTATCAATGGCAACGCTATGAATGCCAGCTCCCGCACCACGGCGCTCAACATTGTGGCCGACATGTTAAGAAAATTAAACGTAAGTCCCTTAAAAAAAATACACACTCCATGCATGGTGCCAGGAACGCTTCTTCTAACTATATCCTTGCTATAACTATGTTCTTTATGTTATTTTTTGTTGTGGTCGCTTTTGTTCAACACTTTCTTCATATGTTTTTAGTGGGACAATGCCTTGTTATGTCCTGAGTGTCAAAAGTTTCGTTGCATCTGCGAACGTGCCTCGCTGTCATCGGTCAGCGAAACTAGTCTCTTTCGCCGCGCCTTTGGCAGTGCCAGCGGCAGCAGCGCCGGCGGCGGCTCGCTGACAACGCCCAGTAGCGATGGCGGCTGGACCGACTGCAATGCTGCACAGCGTCGCGGCAGTTTAACTAGCCTCCAGTTTGGCACAAACATATTTAAGCGTTTCGCGGAACGCATGCGCAGCATACAGGACTCTGAGCCTGTGTCAGAGCCGCCTGTTTTGTGACGCATAAATTTGCTTACAAAAACGATTTGTAATTGCTTTTGTCTATTGTCTTTGTTTGGCGCTTGCATTTATTAATTGCTTTTGTTAATAAATAACAATTTTTATTTTTGTAACTTAATCTATGTTTGTTTTTTGTTGCTGTTTGTCGTCTGTTTTGCTGCTTGTCCATTTATTGATCACATTTTTTAATTGCTTTGCAGGCCATGGAGACGAAGCTGAAAACATATCGCGAGCATGCGCCGCCGATGCAGCCACGTCAATGACCAGCAGCACCAGCAGCAGCATTGGCACTGCATCAAACGCCACTATTACTGACTGGGGGACGGCTGTCGCTGGAGACGGAGTAACAGCTGGCCACCACATGTGGCAGTTGCACAATATTAATTGCAGTTGTCGTTTGTTCAGTTTTATTTTATAGTTACAGTTGTGCGCTACTGCCCGTTTATTTATTTCATTGAAATGACTTGTAAAAATTAACTATATATTACTTATAAATAATACACAATTATTTACATAGTATGTTGACGTCTGAAGTCGCCCCGCCCAACATATAACGCCTTATTAAGTACTTGTATGTAAACATTAATCTTAAGTCTGAATTAACCGACAGTTTTGATTTTCCATGTTAAGCATTGTTAATGGCCTTCAATTGTTTAATTTGGCAGCCGCGTTAAGCACATTCATGGAATGTATATTTAGACCAGTCATGTCCTAGTTTAGTTCACGTACACGGCACACAAACGCAAAAGCAAACAGCAGGCCATTGTAGCAAGCAGAGCTTTGATAGTGCACCAAAACATGTACATTCAATATCAATACACACACACTAACATGTACACAACTTGGACATGACTGAACATAGTGCATAAGTTCTTTGTGTAGTAAGTAGTACATCATAAGTTCATCTGAGTCGAAAGTATTACAGCTCCCAGCAGCAGCCCTAATACACAGCATAATAAGCAACAAATACTCGTAGCATTAGGTTTATGGCGATACTCGTGTGGCAATTACACTTAAGTTAACATACAATTTATGACAACCCCACACAGAGTCCACAGTCCTGCAACATTTAGTTGAATTTAACTACGTACAAACTCACATACACAGAAATATAATGATTTAACACGTTCGAATTTTCGGTTTATATTTTGATGCGAATATAAATTTTGTAAAAATGCAAAACTGTTACTATTATTATTATTATTAATATTGAACATATTTTATATATATACTTCAACTTGTAAATTTATAAAACAGCAACAATAACACACGCTAAATTATAAATAAAGAGATGATTAGTTTTAATAGAAATCCAACCCACCAACCGGTTCAAGTATCAATGTCAACCGCAACGTCCACGTCCACGACCACGTCCACGTCAAAGTCAAAGTCAGTTTCAAAAAGTTCTTTGTTGCTCTCATGTGCAATAAATAATTAATTAACAAAATATTTGTATTAATTTAGCAAAGGCGCTTTAGGTCTGCGTCAGTGGCTATGCCAAGGACATGCTGCCTAATACCGCATGTCCACACACACACTCACGCACGCACAGACACTCACACACATACACCTGCACTTAAGCTTGTAAAAGCTTTAGCTGCAGCTTTTGTTTGCGGCCTTCTCCTGCGGCTTTTTAGCACATTTTGGTGCGGGTTGCGCCTGGCCTTACCCCAGGAAATTATGCTGTGCCTTAGCGCAGGGGCAAGCTATTGCCTGACCTTGCCACACAAGCGAGGGCGGGAGCTTGAGGATTGTGTGACCGTGAGCGTTAAGCTAATGAAAGTGCTTTGGTTTTTCGAAGCAAGCAGCACGGGTTGGCGGCGTCGAGTGTTGGCATTGAGTGCAAATATTTTTCATAAGCAGAGACGGCAGCAGCAGCAGCAACAACGAAAAGCAGCAGCTTTTATCATACGCAAAGCACTTACAACATTCCCCCCCCTCATCATCTAACCCTCGCTTCAGATCAAGTGTTGTTGTTGAGTGCATTGTTTATTTTGTCGCATGAAGATGTGAAGCTGAATCCTTGCAACCTGCAGCAGCAGCAGCAGCAGCAGCAGCCATAAGCGGATTGGGACTGGCACAATGCAATTCCCGTT